AAATTWGCGTCTGTCCTCCAATATTTAATAGAAATACTAGATCTATTGCCTCCAACTTCTCCATCATCGACTGGAAATGAACTTCCACTCTGCCAGCTACTCTGTGATGCTTCTGCTTGAGCGTGACGTGTGCTGCGGTGGAAGGACTTACCAGGATATCCCCCCCATGGGTTCTCCTCGGAGTATGAATAAACCATCTCAAATTACAACAGCCAGATCCGAAGTCTCTCTTCTGTTGAAGTATAGCAGAGCCTGAAAGGAGACATATAATGCTTTTACATCCTTCTTTTTCACATTTAAATCATTCAGCTGGGGTCTATTTAAAGTGGAACTGCAATGTTTTGGTCTGAATTRCTCCTTATCGTAACTCCACAAGCCCCTCTTTCACCCCTTTTCTGAGGTGTGTCTCAGATCAACTCGTTTTGAGGCTGTCTTTTTAAATGCAAATGAAGTGCTTCACACCCTGCCTCCCTCCAGCTTCCTGAGGGGTCCATTCCAAAGCGAGAGAATGAAAACGACTAAATTGTAGTTGGTAAGTCAAGATATTATTCAGTAGTTCCATAGCTAATAATTTGATGTAATAGTTCAGAAAATGTCATAGAAAATAAAAAAACACTAAACAAGTTGATAAATATGACACAAACAGAACATAAAGCCATCTTTGCAGCACCAGGAGTGACTAAATTAAACTTTTCTYCACCCCTAAAGACTCTGAGTACACAACAAAATGCATTAAATGGCTAAAGAAAGTAGATTTTGTTTGAAATATCCCCTTTAAGTCTTCATTAATGCCCATTAATGTACATTTTTGTCTATTCTCAAGGACAATAGGGACTATTTCAGTCCATTTTTGTATCTCTCTGTTCCCTAAAATGTTTGTTCTCCTTGCCAAACACAAGCCCATTAATAGTGCATGAATTAAAAACAAAGCAAATTGAGAGCAAACAGCAGCAATGCATAAATTTATTTAATATTCTCTCTGCTTTCGGCACAAGCTGCTCAGCTTGTGCACTGCCTGGTGAAATCATGACAGCTAAGATTAATCTTGCTCATTTGATGWAGCATCACTGAGCGCTGCAGACTAAACAAACTGTAGAGAAGTGTGCTGAAAAGGAAAAGGTTGTATCTTTATTCCAATTATATTAGTATTATTCAGCATACATCTGTGTCTTAAAAAYACTGACTACTAATGCTCACTGTCTTTTGATCCTGGTTTTCCTAGAGTTAAAATGTACTTTATGGTTCATTCAAAACTTCCCATGAGTATGACAGCAGACCTGAAGTGAACAGGAAGGATGAGAGCCGCAGTAATCCAAAGCTAATCAATGTGTTAGTGTTCAAGTGTTACAGGGAGACTGACTCTGTCCATGGGCCTTTCACGTGGTAAGTGAGACTAATCTCCTAGCATTACTATAGCCAAACTAATCATTTCTAAAAGCAGACAGTAGGCTTTCGGAAACCATTCAAAGCCTGGCTGTGGCACAGACTCGTAGGAAATTTTATGGCACATTCTAAAATTCAGCTGCTGTTTGATTCACGAAGCACACAAATGTCCTTATCATCCTCCATCAAAAATTTCCCATCCACCTATCTGTATGGAATACTTATAGCCTCCCTTTCCCTCTCTTGCACACATGCCC